AATATATACGGGGTGTTCCATAATATGTGGGCATAATTTTAATGGTGGATTTACCACGCAAAAATAAGAAAAAGAATTCATATAAATACATGTACGATATGACCTTGCTTCTAAGTTATAGCCGTTTTTATGTTGCACCAGCTGTTCATCTGTATTCACAGAAACTGTTCTCAAAATGAGCACCTCCGGCTCGAATGCAAGCTTCTAAACGTCTTATCACAGACCTCCTCATCCGTTTAAAATTGCCAGGTGCTGTTCGAATTCAGTGACAATTCTCTTCGATACGCTAATGGAATACCTCAACGTTTTCTATTGGTATGTTGCAAAACGAAAACTTCAGGTAGAAAGATCCCGGTGATCGAGGTGGCCAGTTGATTGACTCTCCAATCAATGAGATATCAAACGTTACGTATGGATAGTTGAACGAAGAGCTCAGTTCGTCAAAAGGATTACTGGAAGACAGAAACGGTTGTAACTCGAAAACAAGGTCATATCGGACATATTTTTTTTTATGTTTACGTCGCATCAACTGCAAAATGTTATAAGTAATTTTGTTTTTTTGAGGAATTGAAGCAATAGATGTATTTTTTTTTATAGTTGGAGAAGTTCTTTTTTAAGCTGTAACTTATATTGTTTTTTTTTTTGACGTAATGTCGAATGTTTACTGTAATGTATAATTAAATGGTTGACTATTTTTCGAGAGTAAATACGAATGGGTTAATTTTACATGTGCAATTTTGCTTCAGAAAATTGCAGTTCTTTTTTTTTATTGTTAGGTCTAGTGTGAAATTCTCCTTAGTTGTGAAACTGCTGTTGATTGTCTGGATATGCGATGGTGTTGTATTGTCGTATTCCGTTTCCCGTATCATTTTTAGTTTCTTGCAGGTGAAATCTTGTAGATCCGTTAAGGACAAGGCGATTAGTGTTTGAGCGAGGTATTGTATTATATAATGTTGGCAGCCTCTTTTGTTGTTGTGTTTGTTATTTTATTATCCCAGTTTATACCTTTAACTATACTTTTATTCCTTTCCTGCTTGCTTCGAAATGGGCTTCCAGGATATCGAGTGTCTTATCATCAGTAGATGTTCTATTGTTGATTTTGCAAATTGCATTCATCGCGTCGATGAAAATTACATAGTTTGTATCTTGTCCTGTGCATATTAATTGGATAGCCCTCTGTATGATAATTCTATTAATGTTACGGAGGTTTCTTCCGTGAGATTAATATTGTGGGTTGTAGATGGAGTAACTACACTGCATCTCGTTCCATTGTGTGTTTTCAATCTGTCAGTGTAGATATGTGTACAGTTGCAGCATTGTTCAAGACTTTTTTGAAGAGAGATTGGTACACTGTTGAGCTAGTTTTCGGTGTTTATTAAAGGTAATGTTTCTGGCGGGATTTTTGAAATTTTATTGTGACTTATGTTTGATAATTCATTGTTAAGTTCTAATTCGAGCATTCTTATGTTGATGCAGAAAGGTTTGGGTAATCTGCAGTTCGTCGAGTAAAATTTAGAGTTCCTTTCAGTAAATACGTTTTCGAATACAGGTTTTTTAGGCGTGGAAACTATTTTTAAGACTTGTTTGATATTCAGAAATTTCGTTCTGGTATTAAGCGGTGGTTCGTGTGCTTCGCTGAGGATATTCAATATTGGGTTTGTTCCAAACATTCCTACAGCTCTATTCGAAGAACTGTATTGTGTATAGTGTCTAAGATTTTTAGTAAATGTGGTTTGGCTGAGTTGTAAATTATTGATCCATAGTTTATTTTAGATTTAATTATGATTTAACATGTATTAATTGATATATTTTTATTCGCTCCTTAATTATTAATTGCTATTATTTCAAGAATAATTAATTTACCATCGAAGATTGTACTCAGAAGTTTGACAGAATTTGATTGCTTTAATTCGTTGATGTCAAGGTACAGTTTCATGTTTATGTTTGTTTGTGTTTTATTGAAAATTAGTACTTTGATTTTGGTTTTTGAAAATTTAAATCCTGTTGTATTTGTCTAGTATTGAAGTGTGTTGAGTGTATCCAGTAGTAAGTTCTATGTTGATTTAGGATTCTTCCTTTTGCACAGGATGAACATGTTTATACAAACTTTTGTTCTTATTTTTATGTGTTGAATCCATCACTGAAGTTATGCGCACATATTATGGAACGCCCTGCATACACGCCTTGTTACCTTGCAATCTGTGTCAAAATTCGAACGTTTTACAATTTTTCAAACTTGCTTTAATTAATATGTTTTATCATAAAATATTACTTCATTTTTTGCAAGTATGTTACTACTTCTGTAATTCTCTTTTATATTTTAGTATACAAGAAATTGCATAATCTTTTGTGCTAAACAATTTTTAATTCAAAATGTTTCAAAATATGGTCACTTACTTGCGTGTTTTTGTATTTATATCAGTGGTGAAAAGAAAAACAAAATTACAAAATGTTTGTCTTTAACAAATATGAAGAAGTAATGCTAATTTGTGTAAAATATCTTATATGATTATTAAAAACGCGTATATTTATCCATATCGATAATTTACAAATTTATTTTCCGATGCTTACGAACACAAGTGTATCAATATTTTTAGTGCAGTCTTGGAATTTCACAGAGTATGTATTTTCATTATTTTATAGTTTTTAAAAAACAAAGAGGAATATGTTTAACCCTCCGAGTACTGACGCTTAGAATCCTGTGCCGGAGTCCATTTGACTCACACCGATATTCCCCTAATGCATATTCGCGGTCGCTCCAGCTCTTCATAGATATACATACCTACGCAGTGACGGTCGCTCGAGCTGGAGATCCGCATCGAAACACACTATACATATACTACTACCAATGAGTCGGTTTTAGATTTCGTTCGGATTTTTGTTGAATGCGTACGAAGAAGTAGCAACATCATGAATTATAAAAAAAGATATTTATTCTATATTTCTATTATTGCAAGTATTACATATACGATTTTGTGTAGAGTGTATGTTACAAACATGTTTTTCATAGTAGTTACATACAGCAGGATATTTATTATTAAGACCTGTACGAAAACAACAAAGAACAATAGCAAAAACGGCAAAAACAATAAAAAATAGATTGCCTCTACATTGGCTGCTGTTAATTTATGGTAGAGTGGTGCGAAGTACATACATCGTCATTTGTTTGTTTGCATTTAATATATGCTCAGTTGTGTCATTATGTGTGTTATCGACGAGAGCCGTGACTCCGGCATATGATACAGAGGGTTAAAAGCAAATAAATTTTGAATGAACCTTCACATGTGAATCTTTAATTTTAACAATTTTCTATTTGTTAAGTAGGTACCTTTACATTGACGACTGTGGTAATTAATGTAGTAATTAACAGAAGCTCTTATAAAAAGGCTAATTTCTCTTTGATTGTTTTGCATATTAGTGACAACTTTATGAGTAAATAGATTCTCTTTGTTGCGACGATGCAGTATTTAAAATATAGCAGATCGTGGGCACCGATGACGGAAAACCAATTCTGTTGGACTATCTTGGACCAATCGTGTGGGACCACGATCGCAATGGCGGCGTGGCTGAACAGTTTTGTGTTGTCGGGTGGTTAAGCAGAGGCTTCTAAAGTCAGAAAATCTGTTTTCTTATGTATTGAAGTGTTCAAATTATCGTGGCTCAATTTTATATTTAGCCATGTATCATTGCGGTTTATTGCTGGTTTTATTGGATCTGTCTTTAGATGGTAAATAATTCTAACCTGTGGTATTTTTAATTTAAATATTTTACTGTATAATATATTATAAACTTGTGTTTTAGTGGTTGGGAGTGTTTCTCAATTAGAAATTGACAGACATTTGGAACTAGGTAGAGAATTTTTAGTAAATGGGCAATTACAGGATGCATTATCACATTATCATGCAGCTGTTGGTAAGTTTTGTTTGCAATTGTTTATTTTAATACGTTTTGAAACAATTAATTTTTATAATATATAAATAACAAAAACTGTGATTTAGTTTTGTTAGAATTTTGATACATATCATTTTTACAGAGGGAGATCCAAATAATTATCTGACATACTATAAAAGAGGTGCAGTGTATCTAGCATTAGGTAAAGCCAAATTTACAATTCTTGATCTTGATAAAGTTTTAGAATTGAAACCAGATTTTACTTCTGCAAGATTACAACGTGGTACTGTATTGCTTAAACAAGCTCAGTTTGATAAGGCAGAAGCTGATTTTCGAGATGTGGTGAATATTTTTATATGATTTGAAAATATGAATTTATAATTATACAATTTTATTGTATTACAATCTATGTCGTGGATTTTTCATAGTTGGCTGTTGAACCACATAATACAGATGCTTTAAATGCCTTATATAAAATAGCACCTACCCAAGAAGATTTGTTAATGGTAGACAGATTAATGAGAGATGGTGATTATGTAGCAGCAGCACAACAAATTTCTAGAATTATTGAAGTATGTCCATGGTCAGCTGAACTTAGAGAGCGCAGAGCTGAATGCTATGAAGCATTTGAAGATTATGTTAGTGCTATTTCTGATGTGCGTTCTACAACTAAGTTACAGTCTGATAATACACAAGGATTTTTCAAATTAGCTAATTTGCACTATCGTGTTGGACAAGTGGAGGAGTCACTGAAGTGAGTAGTAAAAAACTAAAATTATATTTTATATACAAGATTATATAATTAAAATTTTTAATGTTCAGGGAAATTCGAGAATGTTTGAAACTTGATCCGGAACATTCAAAGTGTTTTGCATTTTACAAGAAAGTTAAGGAAGTAGCAAAACTGTTAACAAATGCAGAAGAATCTAAAAATTCATCAGATTACGATAAATGTATAGATCCAGCTCAACGAGTGCTTAAACTTGAACCAAATGTAGCCAATGTGCAATTCATTGCACATCAATTACTTTGTAAATGTTATACTAGTAAGTCGGAAGTAAGTCAGGCACTTAAAAGTTGCCAAGAAGCATTAAAAATAAGAAAAGAAGCTGCAGTATATTGTGATAGGGCAGAAGCGTATCTTGCTGCAGAGATGTTTGATGATGGTAGGTGATATATTTATAAAACATGAATTCTTTTTGTTGTTAATATAATTTAATAATGTTATTGTTATTTTCCAAAAAGCAATTAGAGATTTTAAAGAAGCCTTAGAAATTGATATGAGTTTGCAAAGGGCAAGGCAAGGTCTTCTTAAAGCGCAACAACGACAGAAACTTTCCGAATCACGAGATTATTATAAAATTTTGGGTGTGCCAAGAACAGCATCTAAACGTGATATAATTAAAGCATATAGGAAAGCTGCACAAAAGTGGCATCCTGATAATTTTCAAGAAGGAGAAGAAAAGAAACGCGCAGAAAAAAGATTTATCGACATTGCAGCTGCCAAAGAAGTTTTGACTGATGATGAGAAACGAGCGAAATTTGACCAAGGAGAAGATCCATTAGATCCGGAATCAGGGAAACATCAACAAGGTTTCAATCCCTTCCAAGAATTTCATCACTTCCATGGTTCTCCCTTCCAGTTTAAGTTCCACTTTAATTAACTATTTTTTCACTTTCATGGTACTAGCCCAAATAAAATTTCTAAATTTTCATAGTGTCGTTATGCATGTGACATGACTTTTGCTACCTTAACTAAAATTTAATTTTGCTGATCTACCTCGTCGGTAGTTATATGTCTTGTATCTGCGTGGAATCAGAAGACTGTAATACGAAAAATTGTCAATCAGTAAGTAAAAAAAAGCGATCAATAGTTAATTAAAACGCGCTGTAGGGGTTAAATAAAGATTAAGTTATTGTCTGAATTATTGTAAATCATAATGTTCTTGCTATTACTTTTCAACCAACAACTTGTTATTATTAAAATTTAACGTATACATAATGTAAATAATGCGTGCACGTAATTTAATACGTTATTTATAATAATTTATAATATACGAATTGTAATAGTCTTGAATGATTGACTTACTGAGAAACTAATAAACACTACTACACTTGATACAGACTGAACATATTATCAGTTTTGAGCGATATGAATGATCTATACATGTAAAGTTTCGTATCAACGATATGTGGAACAAAAGTCATGATTGAACTCGCATTTTAATAAAACCGTAGGATGTATGGCGGTAATAATGCTACCTAAATGTTACGACATCGGATTGTGAATTATTCAGTTTAGGTTGAAATTATCCGAAGATTAGAATACACACTACAGAAGCCATGTTTGGTAATGCAGCTATCGAGTACAAGTACACTCAAGTATGGATAGCGCAATGAACTATGAAGTGACTGTATTCGATGTTGATAAAAATATGTAGGATAGTGCTGTACGCGTGTGTTCGTACGAGTGTGAGAGAACTTTATGTAAATACTGTATCTCTGATATTTGTTTAAATATATTTGAATAATTTATACGAATATATTTGTATCATTTGTATGTAAATCTAAGGGCAATTTTATATAAGTACACGATATATGTCACGCACAATGCTCTTAAATACTCGTTACGTTTTGTAAAGTTTTTAACATAGTGTACTTGTATTTAGATATTTTTTAATGGTCTCTCAGAACTTACCAAATTGTTTAAATAATGAATTTTAACTATTATTAAATTCGTTTATGATATTCATTATAGGTATTATTGTACAATCACAATTTATTTATACTAAAAAAAGTCCGGACTTGAACGAATTAAATTTATATACAAGGTGAGTAATGAGAAGCAGAATGCTCAAATGTTTATGTTAGGTTTAAACATAGTAGAAAGTAGATAAATTGAAGCGTTTCAGAACGGTGACAAACAAATTACTCGACATCATTTATAAAGTTATTTAGAAGTAATTTAAAATGACACGGTGTTTACAATTTCATATTGTAGTCAATGTTAAAATGAGTTCAATGGTATAATATCAAATGCTCTTAGACTAAGAAATACTCCTCTCGATTTCTCAATAAGAAACTAACTACTGCAGGGAAAAGGAATAAAGTTTTGAACATTGAATTTTATTCATTTGAAGGTTATGGTATTATATATCACTAAACTTTAAAAAAAAATTCATGATTTCGAAATAACCTTGGAAATGACGTCGTCAAACAGTATCTGTACTATCATATGCGACCTCTTGGATAGTTCAACTTTTCTCTCTAACCTTACCCTTTATGTTCAAACCTAAAACAGATGTATGTACGTATTTAAGGTGTTTTATTTGTCGTAATTTACCCTGTATAATATATTGGCCTAAGACTTGACATTTATTTTATTCATAAAATTAATTTTATTCAGTATCTTAACTAAATTACTATTTAAAATTTTCATTTTTATCATAATGATTTTAATAACGTAAATTATAATGAAAACTTACTTTTTGGGTTTCCTGTATTGTTTTGCAAACGAATATTGTTTTTATCTGTATCTTAAAATACGATTTTATTTTTAATTATGTATATAATAAGCATATTATAAGTTGCAATATTAAAGGTTGGGTATTATTTAATTGTTAATCGCTTTCCCTATGAAAATTGCTTATATAATGACGTTCGTATACCTTTGTTTTATATTTCTTGACTTTATTAGACATCTCGCTTATTGAGACTTGAGAAGCCATGAAGAAGTAATAATGTAATTTATGAATAAAAAAATGCAACTTTAAATATTTTAAAAAATGTAATATGAAAATAAAAATAAGTTAATGATGGCGTAAATAAGAATATTGAATGCAATGTAATAATTCTATCTAAATTTAGTTGTATTAATTATTATGATCACTTACGTACATTTGAATATAAGTTATGTTAACAAAATATTAAATATAATTATTTTTCTGCTATATACAAGAATAGCTAATTTCGATATATTTTTATTTAATAAATTTTATTTTTCGTAAAAGTTTCCTTATTCTTGTACATAAATGAAATAAAAATTGTATTTAATACTTGTTGTATCAACTTGTACATATACTCCATTTGCATATGGCATGCAATTGTAATGTCAAGTTGTAACAAACATATTTGATCTGTAATTGAAATTATTAACTTGAACTTTTGTATCCTATTCTGTGTAAATTATACTTTATTATAGTAGTAACATACAGTAATTTTTATATGTATATGTATGTATGATGTACGTATACACATACACTTTGATAATAAATATCATTTTTAACACTTAATGTAACAAAATTTGTTCCTGAATAAATAACACGTTCATCTATCTCTTTGCCATAAAGAATAGAATATAGCAAGTAGGATAGTTTTTAAATACTCAACAGTAGGGCATTTTTTTTTTATTGTACTATATGGGTCATCTCTCATTTATTTTTTCTTCTTTTATATAATTCCTATACTTTTGAGCCCTATTAAAAGTTTTACATTTAAATATACCGTATATTTCGAATAATTGTAACATCTTTTGAACAATATTTGTACACACAATACATGTCTAATTTATACTGGATCATTTCAGTGGATATGCACAATGGTACTCTTATCTACAAAATTATGCACATACATATACTGTATCTGTGTCAAAAACTTTTGAACAATGTATCACATAATTTTAATTAAGCAGTCTAGTATTCTCTTTTTATTTACACGAATCAAAAATATGTTTTATATACCGAGCTTTTAACATTTTTATATGTACTTTTCGAAAATTTCAATTGGAATACTTTTGATTTTTCCTCTATAAGCTTTTGATGTTTCAAAACGATAAATGTATCTAATTCGAAACCTAAATGTACAAATTATACTTTATACAAAGTAACTTGTGTATTCATGTGGCATTACACCTCTTCTTGGATAAAAGGTATGACTTGTTGAGTATTCTAACAGATTTGTAATCGCGCTCATATAAATATCGGCAAACCTAAAAAGTCTCCTCGAAAAATATGTAGGGTTATGATATGTTCTAAATACAGAGCCAAATTGCTTATTAAATACTCGTTTTATCTCATTTCTTAATCTATCCCTTTCATTGATCCATTCTTCTAGTACTGCTTCCACATCTGGTCCTTCATAATCTTGATGTTCTTCGATCAATCCTGTCAGCATTTGTAACCAGTTGGCATTTTCTTTGAATTTTGGATTATTTAATGTTGTAATTTCGTGCTGTAATATGCAGATATAAAAAGTTATTTCTTTTCTTTTATTATCAATATCTACAAAAAGATTCATTCATAACTGTATTAGTTAAAGATTTGTTTTTTAATTCACTTTTGACTTAAATAGGTTTATACTTAATTATGCATCGTTAAGTTGTTAAGGAAGAAATATAAGGAATATTGTTTTTAATTGATTTCTCAATTCTAAATAAAAATGGAAAAGTGAAAAATTTGAAATTTAATTAAAAAAATTATTTAACGCTTACAAATGCTAATTTACCGTTAATTCTTTTATTATGGCTCCAGTCCGCCAACCGTGTTCCAAAGTTACATCTGCTAAATCGCTATAAGGATGGTCTCCAAAATATAATACTTGTTGTCCTCGCCAACCGGTCATGTCTTGCAATTGTTTAACCGTGCCCTAATTTCCAAATCAACATTATTCACAGATATGAAAAAGAACTTTTGAAATAAATAACTTTACACATACTTCAAGATATGTAACGCCCTTTTCGAGTTTAGTGACTCGATCCCATAGCTGCGTTTTGTTCACTTCGTCGTATATTCTCAGAGGTCGGGATTCTTCAGTAAAGAATTTCGGTTTCCTTGCTTGAACTATCACTACATCGAAATAATCTTTCCAGTTATCACCAACCAAGAATTTCATTCCAACATCACTACGGAACAATATTAAGTTTTATATATTAATTTTCTACAGCGATGTAGTTTTACGTATAATTATTCATATATTGTTGTACGCATTTAACATTATTAAGTGTAATACTTACACAAAATGAAAAGGACTATTGGTCACGAGAAACATATTTTTCTTAGCTGCCTTTAGTCGATCGAAGAATGTCTTTAAATCTCTATTCTGTTCCAAATATTCGGATACATTTTTTACTACCATTCCGTGCATAATAGGATGACACATTTTTACAGAGTTCTGAAAAAAAAAAAATCGATAAGATCTATTTTTATAATACCAATAATTTTAGTTTATTCGCATTACCTTCACATCTCTAAAGAGTATTTCAGGATGATAGTCGATATGGTTATTAAGAAAGTATTCCGTAACGTTGCAAAGAAGACCCATTTCCGGTACCGAGAATAAATCAGCCAATTGAACCATTTTTGTTCGGTGCGGTGGATCCTGAAAAATATTAATGTTAACCGCAAGGTGTAAAAGTATACATACTCGATAGAGAGACTTATAGTACTTACTTTCTGTATTTTGCGTCAAAAAATTCGTCATGAAAAACACAAGTCGATGCATGCAAACAAATAACAGATCTTTTAAATTATCTCAAGTTTTTGTTTTTTCACTTTTTATTGGCGAATTTGGAATTGAAAGTAGTACGTGTACGTGCACATGATGCGATGTTAATTACGAAGGAAGGCTAAAATGATCACGTGTTGCTAGTAACTCGCAGTCTTGCATTATTCTACAACTTTTCGAGTGCAGTACAAAGACGAAGAAACCTTACATGAAACTTTATCTAACGTACATATTTTTCCTTGACTTTTTAAATAACATTTTAAAATAATTTCACAAAGGAATCAAAGTAGAGTAACTTTCAGTTATACATTGTTTGTACGTCACATTAATTTTGACAAAAAAAAAAAAAAAAAAGGAAAGAAAACGATAGTTTCATTCAGGAAAGGCACTGTCCTATTTAATTACTAATCAGTTCATTTGATTATGCTTACATGAGAATGCTTATGAGGCGCTTCTACGTAAGCAATCGGTATTATCCGGTTTTTATAGAGCCTAAGGATTTCGTCGTCAGGGAGTGGATGTAAACCACGGTAAACGGTGCCAAATTGAATTTGCAGGAAGCTGTCGAGTTTCAGCAGCAGACCCTTTTCGATGTCGTAATGGAGGCCACGAACAGCGAAATCCTTCTTGTACTCCAGCTTGCCGATTCCCTCGGGGTACTGTACAGTCGATTAAACGAGTTTGCGTCAAGTTTCAATTGAAATTCTCGTTCGGCCGTAATTGTCGCTTGATTTTCGAGAAAATGCCGCTGACGAGCCGAACTAGCGAGCAGAAATGAGTTAGGAAGTTTTGTTCGTTCGTTCGTTCGCCTAGAATTAGTCTTGTCAAGCTCGAGAGTTATATATCCGGGCTGTTTCTCTACCGATGATATATACGGGAAGAATTTCTTCGCATGTTAACTGATAAATCTAGCAAATCCGTTCAATCGAAATTCCATATACCTTGTACTTCTGAATGAGCATGTCGCGGCCGAGGTTGTAGAGCAGGTAATCCATGGATGGCGTGTAACAGGCCAACGTGTAATCGTAATCGAATCCATAGACTTGGACTTCTTTAAAGTCGAGTTCGTTACAGGCGAATACTCCTTTTGGGTTCACATCTTGCGGAAGTTTCTTTGCTAAATGAAAAATTTTATTCGTTCATTTCAAGTAAGATATGCATATGTATATGTGCAGTGTGGTTTGTTTAACCCTCTGTAGGTAATCTGAATTTTTGACAATCCAAGTGAAATTTCACTTCGAAATGTTTATTTTTATTGAAAAAAGTTTGAAACGTTTGATTTAACTGATAATTGTATAACGTAGTTGTCGACTTCGATAAATACTTCAGAATTTTTTCAAATTTTTTGAAAGCTTAAAACAGTAGAGAAATTAGACTTGGACACAAACGAACCAGTTTGCCTACTGAGGGTTAAATGGAAATATATACGGACAAATTGTTTACGACAAAGTTAACCTCTCCAAAGGAATCATCAAGAATAGTATAAGTAAAATTTTGTACAAGGTTATATTTTTTCCAAATTTTAAGCACATCGATATACTTTTCAATATAGAATCTTTTTTCGCGTGTCATTTTAAAGAATCAAGCGGCAACTATGTAATGGTAAAATATTTTTATACTTCAAAGATTTTTGAGACTTTCACGACCCGATATTACGTAACCATTATTGTTGAGGCTTTCAGGTATAAGTCGTGTCTTTATGGAAAAAGTATACCGGCGTTTCGTAGCACAGCAGCTCACTTCATCGGGGTTCGAATGATACAGCGACAGTAAACACACAGCCACCATGAGTGTGTCATTCGAACCCCGATGAAGTGAGCTGCAATACTTGCGAAACGTCGGAATAATTTTTCCATAAGGACACAGCTTACACTCGGAAGCCTCAACAACTTTTATATTTATTAGTTTATTCTAACTTTCAGTTTTTAGAAATGCCTATCTTTTTGCAGTTTTCTAACCTAACCTTAAAATTATGAAAATTTTAAAACCTGGGGGAAAAGTTTCTTCGTTCCTTGACCAGTTTAACGTAATGCATTATACAAGGTGGCTCAGTTCGTTCCGATCAAACTTTTAACAAGTAAAAAGAAAATGTTATATAAACATAGGTCGTTCGAAGCTTTATTAAAAAGTTATAACAATAATACGAAATGGTAACGGATGTGCGGTTATTATGATACAAAATAGGAATGGATCAACGATATGTAAGTGTATCTAGTCTGTTTACGCAATCTATGTTTACGATCTGAGGTCGTTGAAGGTGTTGAATTTTTGCCAGTGGCATTCTTGTTTTGTATCATAGTAACCGCAGGTTCGTTCCTACCATTTCTTTAGCAATTCGTATTTTCGTTATAACTTTTTAACGAAGCTTTAAACGACCTATGTTCATATAACATATTTTCCTTATTTATACCTGTAGAACATACTGACAAAGCTTGACCGAGAAAAAATGGGACACGCTGTTTAATCCTTTCGTACATCTATAAACAGCGGAAATATTTAGGCGCTCCCATTTTATCAGCATTATGATTTTCACAAATTTCACTATAAATATCTTCGTCGATATTTAGTAGTTCAAATATTACAATTTTATGCAATCAAATCTTAAGCATTCATCTAACAGCTTTCATTTTAACACTTTAGTATTGTGGTACAAATATCTGATTTATTCCAGACATTTATGGAATATATTCGTTTCACTCAAATATTTTGTCAACTTTTCTCCACGATACGCTAAACTGAACAAAGTAAAAAACATTTAATATTTTTTTATTTCTTGCTATGCATATTTAAAAAAAAACTGGGAAATCCTTTACAAACTATGCTTAGATAAAAGATTGTCGAAATGTGCTCTATTAAATATTGACCAAATTTATGGTATTTGGAATAATAATAAATTAGCAAACCGTGAAATTTTTAAGATACTGTTTTCATTACTTGTTAAGTATACAAGTATAACTCTTTTGTGCTTAGTTTTAATATTTTGCGTAACGATTAAGTGGCGTAATTAAGATTCTTAGGCGTATCTCGTGTGTGCATTTTCATAAAATTATGGTTTCCTAAGAATATTATTAAATTTCAAAGCAGAGGAATTTTGTCTTTGCTTAAAATATTACGTAAACCTAGAATACGAATAGAATGCAATAGAATAAAGGAGAAAATACGAATATGTATTTTCACTTTGTTTTTCAGTTTAGTAAAGTAGAAGCTTTGCAGTTTTCTTTGACAACAAATTTATCAAATTGTATGATAAATATTTAACTACTGTGGTTTCATAAAAATACACGTATTATGCTCCGCTGTATTTTACTAAAACATTCAACTATATTTCGATTTGCGTAATATTTTGACAGCGTTATTGTTCCAAAATTGTTTAAAAGATGAATTTCTCAAAAGAGAATTATATTACAAATCTCAATTTCGAAATCAAAATTAATTAGTTACTTTTAACGAGATAATAAACATTTTTATCGAGAAACTGCTATTAATTAATCTCCTCCTAAATGTTGTAATTAAATAATCGAAAGAAATCACTGCCGTGGATATCTCACGTAAGTTATAACTTACGTTTCTCGTTGAGTGGATACAGTTCACACAAACAATATGTAAGAGATTACATTCAACACGAAAATTTGATCAATGTCAATGTTACATTTCTTACGTAACGCGTTCTCACTGATTATATAACACGCGTAGACAGTAAAGAATTTCGCATGAATTTAAATTCTATAGTTGAGAAATTTCAAGCGAATACGTCACAAATGTATAAATTATCACGAATATTAAAACAATGTTGAGAAAGTGAGGGAACTGATTATACAGGATGTTTCACGTTTGCTCGAAACGCTTATTACGTAATTGAAATGGTTTCAAAGGGCGAATAAGATGGAAGAAAAATTTATTTGGTGGAGAAAATGGCAAAAGGTGAATGGAAATTTCACATTTGATTAAAAATCTTAGTGTCCGAGATCATTTCTGAGTGAATGCACAGTAATGTCAGATATAACAATGATAACCTCGAAAAAAACATTTACAAAAAAATTTTTCTTCCTTCTGATTCGTCTCTTAAAATCGTTTAAATTGCGTAAGAAATATTTCTCGTGTTATTAGAGAAAGAAGAGATATTTTAGGCGGCCTGTTTTACGTGGAACATTTATCTATAGGGTGAACTGAACGTGAAGGGATAGATAAGATATAGAATAGTAGACTAAAGTTAGGTTAAGGTACGGATATATTACGTAGTAGTGCAAGCCAATTTATATCCTAGCAGGGTCAGAGATAAATTGAAAAAAATATATAAAATTAATAACTATTGAAAATGGTAACTTCTGTTGAAAATTTCCTAAAATTAAAGTAATAATTTTAACAGAGAAAGTGGTAAATAAATAATACTTACGTTATTTTATTTCGAAATGTAACATTTACCATTAGTACAAAGAAAAATCATTTACATTCGTTTGTTAATAATGAAACAAATAAATATAAACAGATATTATCCATTATGGCAAAAAATATCTTGAGTAACGATTTTTTTACTTGCTTGTAAATAATATTGCATTATTCTTTTTCCTTAGTTTAATTGTTAACAAATAAATGTAAATTATTTTTCCTTGTACTAATGGTAAATATTATGTTTCTAAATAAAATAACGTAAATATTATTTATATACTGCATTTTCTGTGGAAATTATGCAACACTAAATAAATTCTAATTAGGTGTGCGGAGACTTTTTTGACCGAGTATATGTAAACTTGGGTAGAGGGGCATAATAGTTACTAATCCGGTACTTAACACAGAAATTCTAAGACATGATCTTCCTACCGTTTCGAGGATTTCATGCAATCTCAGGTACCACTAGTTTGCTGACACCCTGTATATTTATACAACTATGTCAAGATTTAAGGACGCATTTTTGTACTTGTTTGTAAAGTTATCAAATCTATCTCAAAATGTTCACCCTCTATAACGCCATGTGACTTGAAAGTTATATACGTATCCATTTATCCATATTTTATAAGTTTCATTTTATTTGTTTATTGCTATGTTATTGCATTATATTCTTGTATTGTTATATTATTATCAGCCAATTTCATTACAATAATTATTAATTCTTGCTTCTCCAATAAAAACGTATAATCGTAATCAATCGTAATTTTTCATATTATGAATGAGAAAAGATATAGAGGGTTAACCTGTTAATCAACGTGTTCGTTAGCTGAGTATTATTAAGTGACAAAAGCGGAATAAATATGTGTTGTAGGTATAACTATGATATAAAAGATAACCTATAAGAAAATGGTATAAGTTTAAAATAATTCAAGTAAAAATATAAGGTTCACACATTAAAGGATTAATATTACGCTGATTAGCATATCTACTGTTTAATGCTTCTATTTTTTTTTTAATGGTCATACGCAACCTGTTATAATTTGGAAACAAGCTGGTGCTATTCTATCTGTTTAATGCTTCATGTCGCCTCAGATAGGCGTATCAAGGTAAACATGAAAATAGAATGCACTCTATATGCATGTGACTAGGGACACGTGGCCTTGTGTGAAGATTTTTTAACTATACAGCAGCATAATACACACTACTATTTCTCTGACTTCGATTCACAGTAAGACCGCGCGCTCTCGTTTTGTTCCGCAGATGCTCGATACGAGATGCTTTTCACCGTCCTAGTTTTTTTATGCCCGTCCGTTCCTCTCGTCTCGTTCCGTCTCGTCACGTCTCGTTTCGTCGCCCCATGTTTTTTTGCTAATTAACTTTGGATATAAATTTCTGATACACAAACTTTTCTCTAATTGTTTCGATAAACATACTGTCGTACCGACAGGACTATATATGTATGTACATATTTGACTACCGTAGTAATTTCTGTCGCATAATTCAGCGTCGTGATTTTATCGTCAATATCGTGTTTGCTCGTTGAAGTCTATAAATCATGGTAATTACTTACAACGACTCGTAATAGATTAACTGTGTGGGGGCAAACATTTTGGAAATTTGCCAGATGCCGTTGATTTACGATACAACATTGTTGACGTTTCATGCAACTAATACGGTAAATGCCGTCGCGTGCACGGTCTCGAGTGATTCAACAGCGACCATTCAACTCGCCTTTAAGATCGAATATAAATCGAACGCTTCCTGAAAAGGGGGATTCATTGACGTATCAATTGTAATTTCCGCGCACATAGACAAGTACCAAGGTCTCGCGCCGGTAGCATCGATTCGAAATATCGACGTGTAGTCGGTGAAAGCGCATGCGCAGGCTCAAACAACGCGGCGGTAGATTAGACAGGTACGCGACTGAGAGAGAATGTTGGAAAGTCTAGCGGGAGTGAGGAGGATACACTAAAGTAACATGGCTGCAACCAGTGTTAATACTCACACTTATATTTTTCACGTGTCTTCATGTAATTCTTGAGCATAACTTCGCGCGACATTTGGCCACGGTTAAGGGCACGATCACCAATCGAACGTTTGACCAGAACATGGCTGCCGAATCTGTGTAACAACCACGACGGGAAGAGATTTTCGATCGGGACAGGCGATGCTGCGGCAACGGCGAGGATCCTCGTGTGCAGCATCACGAACGATTGGTGGGTATGCACCTATTGCCACGGTGTTTGAGGATTGGCGCTCTGCACGGCGGGAGATTCGAACCGAAGCGCCAGAAGCGGCTATTTGATCAAGATGATACTTCGATGTTACTAGGCGACTATCAACTTGCGTGTTGTTACTTAATCGTAACCGAGCGTACCGACCCACGCGAACTCGAATAATAAGATCGTGACCCCCCTATTTTCGTTTATCTTCATTCCTCTAGTGCAAGATACATCTCCTTGGTCGTCGGTACTCGCTATTTATATTCCGTTCACTGTGTGCTTATAATTGTCGAATTGTGTCCACTTTGCTTCGCGTTTGCAGCACAAGTGCACGCACGCTACGTCCGCTCGACTACCACTGTTCGTCTTTGCGTTCGTCTCGTCACGAGGGGATGACGGGACCGTGTACGGTTGCGGTTCAATCATGCTGCTCGGAACGCTTCACGCAGCGTCGCTGCCGAATAATACGCACGACCGGCTGCCGCAAGTGGTACCTAAAAGACAGAAATAGACATAACTGTTCGTATACGACACGTGATATGTTGCCAAGCGTACCTTCTCTGTGTTTTGGATTTCTCTGGTTCGTGGTCAGGTAGTGTTGTCAAGAATTGGAAACTTCTCTACGAACATTTCTCTCGATGTCGTTTATTCGTTTCTCACTCATTGTCAGACAGTTTTGCGTAAGCATCGGTTATCGTCGCTTCATAAATATTTATTTTCGCGGAAAATACGCGAAACAAATGGAAATTAACACGTACCATGATAATTTTAACGTTGTCGAATGAAACTTCTAATCATTCGCGAATACGCGAATAAATAGTCGGAAAATATCTTAACCTATAAGCATGGTGCTGTAAGATTTTCTGAAATTAGTATCGGAAGATTGGAAAAGAGGTTAACGCATACCTTTGTGAGTCTGTATCTTCATTTTATACTTATTATTATTCTAGTTCGGGTTCTAAAGGTAATCTGTATCTGTGATTTTGATAGGAATGAATTAATCAGTCAGTGGTTTAATCTTAATTTAATTGGGCAACTTGATATCGCTTCTGATCATCAGGCATGCATTTCACTTACGAACGACTACTTGGACAAAGTGTTTTACATAGTCACTTATATTTTTCGGCATGCGACGTGTCACAACAACTGATTCTAATTGCAAAACATTGCGCGCGCGCGCGCGTGCGCAGTACATAGTATGTGTTCTTCTGTTTATACTTGCTGATATTCGAGCCTCCTGTAATCGTTACCGTTGCAAACAGCCGTACCGATGTTATGATTAATGATCAGTTGCGTCCTTCGAACGGTCATTCTCACGTTAGTGCTTCCGTATATTATACTCTCTACTATTCCTGACACAATTTCCTGTATTAATTATAGGTGGCGCACGTGCAAAGGTGGCAACCAAAAGTTTCTCGTTTCCTTGTCTTTTCCAATATTAATATTGTTTATCTTTAACATTAGAATTTCTGTCAGGGAATTTGCCTACGCTAAGGAACGAATATTTGTTTTTTTTTTTTCGTTGGATAAAAGAAATACTTTTACGTTTCTTGCTTCCTTTACATTTCTTAACCTCTCTGGAATATTTACCGAGTTTTTACAGCAGCATGTGTTGTATGAGACTAGAGAAATGATAATGAATAGAAAATATGGAACTTGCTCGAGTTTTTCTGAGAAAATACTTTTCATGTCATTATAGAAAAGAATGAAAATTATATTCATGTATTTATTGGAATTATTTTAATAATTACATTTATATTTTTATCAAAAGAACTTTTACGTAGGGAGTTGAAAAAAACGTTTAATTGACGTGTAATATTTCATTGATAAATGGAGTAGTTTTGAATTATCATATTTTAGAATTCATTGAGTGTATATTGTAAACTATCTTATCTATCTGAGTGTATTAAGCAAATGATAGTGTTTATTTGGTAATAAATTATCTACAATAAAGTACTCATGATATTTTTCTTTATAGTATAACAGTATTTTGTAAAAGTTATCATATGTTTAGATTAGCACTTATCATAAATCTATTTGAAAATATAAGGCTTCAAGTACATTTTATCTTAGGTAAGTTAACAACGTTCAAAATAATTGTGTACTCGAAATACTAAAGTAGATAAACTTTGGATAGTTAATAGCAAATGTTATTTTGTATAATTATGTAGTTTCTGCTGAAAATGTTTATATTAACTCTGTCTTCTAGTGATACTGATTATATAGCGTTGTGTACTTTTTGTTTACTATATTTATATTTCCTATGGCAAAGGAAAAATTTTAAAAGTATTGTTACTGTTTTATCAATAGTTAAAATAAGCAGTAAACCATTTTTTTTATTTGCGATTAAAAGAATTCTGAATAATGAATCTAGTGACAAACCAAAAATATTTTGAAGCATAAGTTATTTTAATTTTAAATCTAGCCTGACTATGTAACTGTGTTTACGTTAATTTTAGGTTCGTTCTGTATAAAAGGTGTAAATTGCAAAATTAATGTTACAAATTAGAAAAACGTGTACCAACCAAATATTTCCACAGTATGCTGTAAATTTACATATGTATAAAAAGTTACTACTTTTTCTATTGGTACACCTGTATACACATGTATTCGGTAACACTCTTTTTCCAATTTACAAACGTTATTTGTTTATAATAGAAAATAAAATGATCGTTATAAATAATTTACAAGTAAATTATACCGAATTGTATCGTATGTTAATAATTTATTAGTAAATAAATGGCATCAAATTATAGGTACTTGTAAATTCAGTGTGTTTTTATCGAATTTCGTCAGAAGTAAAAAATATTTGTAACACGGAAAAGAAACGTTTCCAATCTTGTGCTCGTATAATCTTCTTTCGTTCTTACGCGATAAGCAGAGCATACAGGGTGTGCAACAAAACGTAGTATTACCGAGCAAGGAGCTTTTGTTTTTTAACAAATAAATTTTGAAAATTTTCGGATATACAGTATGTTCTACCTAACTTTATCACTTGAAATATTTCTGTTATAATTAAAATTTGATAAAAACGTTTCCTACAAAAGTTGTACAGTTTTATGTGGGCCTGAGTATAGTAGCAATAATTTTATTCAGTTGGGATTAACTTTGTTTTTTTAAATGTACGATTGAGACTATTTCAATGACCTGTAACAGTAAAGCCTTCCAGGTCACTAAAGCTCGTACAAATATCGTGATCGCCAAATTTAACATCTCTGGAGTACTTTTCATGGGGTGCAGAGAAAGATATACAGGGTGGTTTCCAAATGGCGCAACTGTAAAGTGCACATATGTCCTGCGAAAAAAATATGTTCCTGAAAATATAGTCCTTCTTCCTTTAACGTTTCTTTCATGTAAAATACTAACAATAAGACAGATGAAATTGAACATTAGTACGTAACAGCAGCGAATTTGTTAAATTAATAGCTTCTTTAAAAAAAATGTTACTCTTCATTTTCGATGTATTTTTTCATAGAAAATTGTACCTTGTCCGTTGATGCTGATCAACTGAAACACCGAACGTTCGACATTTTTCCATGATTTTTCATACGTTAAAAATCGTTGGAGCGAGAAATAAACATTTCCAATGTATATTCAAATTTTCAACAATTTCTAGAGAGATGTTTTTTAAAGAAATTGACGAATACGGTGGCGATCCCCTGTGGAATAGCATGATACGTAACGATAGCAGTGCCAGCGTTGGCACGTGACCTCGTTGCCTTAATCTAGCCCAGTCCGACAGTCGTCGTGCTTCTCGTAATCTCTCCGATCGGCCGTACGCCGAAGAAACGTCTCTAAGCGGGGAAAAAAGTTCGATCGGAAATCGCTCTGACAGTATTTCATGGTAATTCGCTTCACGTTTGCGCATTCCGTCTCGCGAGCGAGCGAGCGAGAGAGAGATAGAGAAGGAGAGAGAGAGAGAGAGAGAGAGAGGCACGACAAGGATTACGCACCGACTTTCCATTCTTTATGGAATGCAATTTCATGATGTGGACTTTCTATGCTATTCTGCACCTCTCACCTGGCTCCACCCATCCCGCTGTCATTCTTGACTTATTCGTACCTTTTTCGCCGGCAATCGAGGGAGAGCTCTCCCGAGAGATCGGCCAATTCTTTCATTCTTTTCGTACCTTCAATGAACGATCCCATTCACCCGACTAAATTGCACGTTGTTTTGCGGTGGATATAACATGTATTTGCACATCGTTATTTTTATTTCAATGTTCGTGCAACTTGCCCCACAAACCGTAAAAAAATACACCACAGTGGTGGAAAAGAATTCTTCCTTTGAGCTTCAGTTTTCGAATAAAAATCGAATTAAAAGGTTTGTTGAGGTACAGAGTGAAATGTAATTTGGCGTATAGTTGAGAAGGTTAGGTTTCTTCATGTAAAAAGAAAAAGAAAATTGACGGGATAGAATTTTTTCATTTTGGAATAAATCGGTTTTGAAAATTTCCGAATATATATTGTTCAATTCGATATGCCTATTATATTATTTCTGTTTATGTCAGTGTTGCTTGGGTATGCTAATGAAACAAGTCCATATTGTGCAAAAACCTGTTGCATTGAATAATTACGGATAAATTGAAACGATCGCTAAATTATATTTATTAGCATATAATTCTAGCAAATTTTCAAATTTTCCATTTTCTCGTGAACGGATCTTCATATTTTCTCACGAAGACTCACTTTATCCGCTAGGACTATACTTTTATGAGACACCTGGTGCACAAATTAACCAAATTTAAGTACTTCACAAATTTAACGGTGTGTAAGCGAAGTATGTAAGCATACTTCGTTTCCTCGTACTCACAGTCGGTTGAATCACGGTGGTATTTATGCTTTAACCCTTTCGCGACTAGCGCCGGTTATATCCGGCATCCACTAAATGCTTCACACTGGCTAGCGCCGGTTATATCCGGCACCCACTAAATGCTTCACACTGTCCAGTGCCGGTTATATCCGGCACCCACTAAATGCTTCACACTG